AGGTAGCAGAGTACTTTAGAAAGTTGACATTTTATTATTTTTAATTTAAGAAGATTTTACCTTCAAATAACACTATTATGTGATAATCATTATGATTTAGATACTATTTTGCTTTTGTTTAAAAATGATCTTTATTTGGTCTTAAGGGGTTTTTAAAAGAACCCATTGTTGAAATAAATTCTGTGCAAGAATTTTCTTAAGTTAATTTTGCATTAAAAATAATTGTATAAGTAAGAATTTCTAGCTCCACGTTACCTAATCCCCAAATTAGACAACACAGAATTTAGCCTAATACCCAAATGAGCATAAACTTAAAACAGACTCATCTTTCTTTCCTCATTCCAGTATGTAAAAGTTTTAGCAATGTGATATGAGTTGAGAGAGCCCCAGTTTTATCTAGAAACTATTGAGTCAGATTAAGAAAACAAAAAATCAATATCTTCTCCAATAAAAGCAGTATTTTGTTTTTCATATTTAATTTTTTTCCTCAAATTGGGACCTGTGTTTTAATCAGTGCATACTTTGATAATTTGTTATTAAATCATGCCTTATTAGCAATGCTGTTTTAGAATTTAGGAACTAATTACAATAAATATTTCTAGTTCACCAGAAATACATTGCATCAAGAAGTAATTTTGCTTTTAAAATCTGTTTATAACTTTTCCTCCTCAAAGTTCCCAACTTAAAGTAACTATTATTTAAAAGATACATTTAATTGAATAATGATGTCTATAGGAACACTATGGTTAATTTTGTCTATTGTGTTATTTTATCTATTCTTACACAGCAACAACCTTGCCTTCTAATTTCTATTAGAGTCAGTAGTAAATGCCCAGGGAAGAAAAACAAACATTCCCCACTTTTCTCTACCTTATGAAAATCAAGTTAGAGGAGCAGCAACAATAAATGAATCCATTTCCACAAGTGCCCTTCCCTTTCCCCTCAGAGAAATGACTCTGCATGGTGCCTGTTATGTAGCTGGCTTATGCAAAATCATTTGCCCCTTGTGAGAATGTGCACAATTCAAAACTAGAATTATATGTTTCAGAGGCAAGAACATTCTGGGGGGAAAAAGAACATTTGACATGCACGCTGAGGCAGAAGGGATGATAGGAAATTTATACAATTTTTTGAATATAAAAGGCTTGAAATCACAAGTCTTAAAAAGTAATTCCCTTTTACATTTTTTGGCTGTTAGCAATTCTCAGTTGAGTGCTTTTCTGCCCAGATTCAAGTTTTTAGTCATTCTGTGTCACGTGCAATTATGATTCTGTCTTTGTAGTAATTTTTTCCTACCATTAGTAAGTACCCTGTTTTTATCATTTCTGTCAGGTATTTTTTGATCAGCAAATCAAGTTGTTATTTGTTAAGCCTTCCCTAGTCATTCGCGCTACATTGAGTTCTTGCTCTTTTGACTTCCTTTGGCACTTGCTGTGTTATTGACGCCGTGGTATAGTGGGATAAATGCTGGCCTGAGAGATGGAGGACCTGTGTATCAGTCCCAGCTCTGTTGCCAACTGTTGTTGTTCAGTTACTAACCTGTGTCTGACTCTTTGTGACCCCGTGGACCTACAGCATGCCAGGCTTCCCTGTCCTCCACCATTTCCCAGAGTTTGCTCAAATTCACATCCATTGAGTCAATGATGCCACCCAACCATCTCATCCGCTGTTGCCCCCTTCTCCTCCTGCCCTCAGTCTTTCCCAGCATCTGGGTCTTTCCCAATGTTTTGACTCTGCATCAGGTAGCCAAAGTATGGAGCTTCAGCTTTGGGATCAGTTCTTCCAATGAGTATTCAGGATTGATTTCATTTAGGATTAACTGGTTTGGTCTCCTTGCAGTCCAAGGGACTCTCAAGAGTCTTATCCAACACCACATTTCAGAAGTATCAATTCTTTGGCACTCAGCTTTCTTTATGATCCAACTCTCACATCCATACATGACTACTGGAAAAACCATAGCTTTGACTAGATGGACATTTGATGGCAAAGTGATGTCTTTGCTTTTTAATATGCTGTCTAGGTTTGTCACAGCTTTCTTTCCAAGAAGCAAGCATCTTTTAATTTCATGGCTGCAGTCACCTTCCACAGTGATTTTGGAGCCCAAGAAAAGACAATCTGTCACTGCATCTACTTTTTCCCCTTCTATTTGCCATGAAGTGATGGGGATGCCATGATCTTCATTTTTTGAATGTTGAGTTTTAAGCCAGCATTTTCACTCTCCTCTTTCACCCTCAAGAGGCTCTTTAGTTACTGACTGAGTGTCCTGCAAATCAGTTTTTGTCTATCTCCTTAGCTACCTATTTGTCTATCCATCCTGTCCAACCATCTATCATATTTCCATCTACCTACATATCTATGAGGGCCTTAGTTTCTTCATTTATAATGAGAGATTATAATCCTAATAGGATTGCTTTGGAAAACTTTATAAAACCATTATATAAATATAAAACATTATTATTTTTGCCCATACCAATTATTTTGAGACATATGTTAAGGTTTCAGACTATTATTTATCATTTCTCTCTGTTCCCAAAGGAATTTGCTATTAGAAAATCTTTTTTTTTCTCTTGTGCAGTTCACTCTGTCATGAACATAATAGAGCCAACCAAAATATGATTTTCCTCATTATCTTGTATTTTTTAAATGATCACTCAGTATTCTGTGTTTTCTTTGCCTCAGTGGGATAAATGAGCCTTTTGATGATCTCATCCAATATGGTTTATCATTAAATGTATAAACCTTAAAGCTGATGACTCCTAAAGAAAATAATGTAATATAAAATGAAAGATAACATGTGATGTTATCTATGGATATAAATATAGACATTGTGGTGTATCATTATATGCTTTTTGGCCTCTTTCTTTCATAGGCCATTAGGAATTATCTTCTTTAAAAACTGTTTTTAACATTATAGCCCTCTTTGTATTAGCTTAAGGTAGCTCCAAATGGAAGTTACTCAGAAAACATAGATTTGAAGATATAGAATTTCCACATAATAGCTGTGCACTCCTCAGCAGATATCTTAACTTTTCCAAAATTGGCTTCCTGTGTAATACAGAGATGATATCACTTTCCTGGGTTGTAGAAGTGAGATCATTCTGAACGAGGAGATCTGAGCACTTGTTTTGGTGCCTGGCACAAACTTGATTTGTAATCGGTTTTCTTGATACTGAATTTTTAATGAATTGTTTCATATTTTGGATGGACATAAATTTACTCTTAACTCTTGTAAGCAAGCTTTTTTTCTTGTAGCCCAATACATAGAACTGTGTCATTTTGAAGTCCACTGTCTGTACCTGCTCCTGGCTTGTGATGCTCTCCCACACCAATGCATTTTAACTTCCCTCCTGAAAGACTTGAGTGACATATTTGTGAAACTTGCCCAGAACTCCCACCTCAGCACTCACGCGAAGCTGAATGCATGTTTATGCCTAATTGTGTTCTGTCTGCATATTTCAGTTTGTATTTTTCTTCCTTTCTGATTCCTTTATTTCCCATTTTGCATTATGTGTTTGATGAAGTCCAAAAAAAAATGCGCCCTTCATTTTTTGGCCAATCGTGCAAATTTATAGCATGAAGGAGAAGAAGAAGCCGTGGAAGTGATCCTTCTCAGGAGTGCCAGTTTGGAGGAAAACAAGGTTAGAGTCTCTGAGCTGACCCTGACCTGTTGACATGGGCAGGACTGGAAACTCTTGATAATCATCTACTTTAAAAAACAGGATCACGATATAAAAATTAGTTTGTGATTAGTAACTTTTATTTATTATAGACACCATTCTATGTAATTAATAGTCTTCTAAAGCATCTTTCATGTAGCTGAGCATTCTGTTGTTTGTTCCATAATATTTTAAACCAGTTCCCTTTGTTGAATGTCTAGGAGTTTGCTATCTTTTAGAAAGTATAAACTGTACAGAGATGAAGATCCCTGTAGATAAATCCATGTGCACAACTGTGACTCTCTTGTGATAAATTTTTAGAAATACTACAGTGTCAAAGGATATGCATTTTAAAAATACATATTTTTTTGATACATATTGCCCAGCCCAGCTGTGGTCTAGAATAGTGATTGCCCTCTGGCTTAGGTGAGAGTGTTTTTCTCCACACATTTTCCCAGTACACAGATATTATCTGTGAATCTTAGCAGCTTGATTTTGTGATCACAAACATACTTCTTTTCACTTTCTTCTCTGAAAAATTTGTTACACAATATTTACTGTATACTCTACTTAAACTTTTCTTTTCTTCTTTTTTTTCCATTTTTTTTATTAGTTGGAGGCTAATTACTTTACAATATTGTAGTGGTTTTTGCCATACATTGACATGAATCAGCCATGGATTTACATGTGTTCCCCATCCCGATCCCCCCTCCCACCTCCCTGAAAAATTGATGCTTTTGAACTATGGTGTTGCAGAAGACTCTTGAGAGTCCCTTGGACTGCAAGGAGATCCAACCAGTTCATCCTAAGGTAGATCAGTCCTGGGTGTTCACTGGAAGGACTGATGCTGAAACTGAAACTCCAATACTTTGGCCACCTCATGCGAAGAGTTGACTCGTTGGAAAAGACCCTGATGCTGGGAGGGATTGGGGGCAGGAGGAAAAGGGAATGACAGAGGATGAGATGGCTGGATGGCATCATCAACTCGATGGACATGAGTTTGGGTAAACTCCAGGAGCTGGTGATGGAGAGGGAGGCCTGGCGTGCTGCAATTCATGGGGTTGCAGTGAGTCGGACACGACTGAGTGACTGAACTGATACATATACACACACACACATTACATCTTTATCCATTCATATTGATGGACACTTCAGTTGCTTCCATATCTTGACAACTGTAAATAATGCGGCTATGTATGTATGTGTCTTATTGTATGTCCATAATTATTCTGACTTGCAGATTTATTTTATGGTATCAACACATTAGTCTATCATGTCAAATGCGTTTATAAACATATAATTCTTATGTGTCTTCTCCTAAATGTAATTTTCTTACTTTCCCAGGTGCCTGCATGAACATCACTCACAGCCAGTGTCAGATATTGCCCTACTACACCACGCTGACATCTCCCCTCTCCATTGTCAAAAGCATGGAAATGGAGAAGCTCCTCAAATTCTTCACATACCTCCATCGCCTCGGTTGCTATCAACATATCATGCTTTTTGGCTGCAGCCTGGCCTTTCCCAAGTGCATCAGGGATGGTGCTGACAGGTATTTTGGAACCAAAAGCATTCAGTGATAAGGATCAGTGGTAGCAGGAGTGTCTGAAAGTCATCCCAAGCTACCTCCTTTTGTTTTGATTGTTGTTAGAGGAAAAAAAAATCCCACACCAGTCATAGCCAGTAGTAATTCTTTTGAAGTAGACATTTTTGGAAAATCTGGGATAAATTCATTTATGGCAAGAAATTATTTAAGCTGGTGGATGGAGGCCATCAGTCGTAGTAGTCAGTAAGTGTTTTGGTCTACCAGCAGAAGACAGCACACCCAAAGGGCGATGGAAAAGAGAGGATTTATGGAGGTGTGGGCAAGGCTAAGAGAACAAGGGAGGGTCAAAGGGCAGACAGACCTGGAGAGGGCTGTGGGCAAGGGGTCTCCCAGCAAGTCAAGTGCTGTCACTTAGAACCAAGGAGCATGGACACTGCCAGCCGGTTGGTCCTGCAGGGAGAGAAAAGAGGGAATAAATGCCCTGACCTCACTCTCCTCCTGCCTTCCTGTCTGCCAGGGCCTCACACCAGTTGAACTTGCCCACAACCATTGGGCAAGGGCAAGTAATTGATGTGAGCACAATAGATGAGCTCCAAAATCTCATCCCAATATCATCCGCTCCGAAGTTCCAAATCTCATTTGAATCAGGTCTGAATAAGACACCGGTGATTCTCATGGTCAACACTTGAACCCAGAGCAGCTTGAGGAGGAGGGCAAAGGGTAGAAGCGTAGGGACAGAGGCTGTCCAGCACGATATCAAGTAGGGTTAGAAATAACTTTCTTCTGGGGGCCTGAGGGAGAACATGTGAGCTGGTGTGTCTTGTGAGCTGATTTATTTTTTTAATGGAGGTATATGGACATATAACATTAGTCTGGGTGTACCACCTGGTGCAATATATGTGTATGTTGTAAAGTGATCACAACAGCTAAGTCTAGTTAACATCCACCACCACACATAGTTAACAGTTTTTTTTTCTGATGAGAACTTTTAAGATCTTCTTTATTAACAGCTTTCAGACATGCAACATGATATCATTAACCATAGTCTCCTTGCTTAGATTACATCCCCATTTCTTATTTATTTTATAACTAGAAGTTTATACTTTTGACTACATTTCCCCATTTTTGAAATAATGTAATTTCAATACTGTATTGAAATAGTATAATTTCAATATTGTATTAAATAGTTTTCTATAAGAGTAAATCAATATGTTATGGAATATTTGAAATAGTATATGGCTTTTTAAATTTCAAAGCATTGTTAAGTACATATTCTTATATAACATCAATTATTTTCTGAATTAAAATGTTAGAAACTTGTCAGGGTAGTAATGAGAGAATGAATTGTATTTTTAAATTCAAATAGGCTTTATGTTATTTGTACCAATTTAATGTGTAAAGAATGTTTTGAGTATAACAAAGGTGTTTATTATTTTAACTGGAAAAAGCCTACATTACCATAAAATAAAAACCAAGTAGAGAAGAAACAATAGATTCTAAATTGTAGAAGTAAGTATGCAAGCATTGTTAACAGACACAAGCTTTCAGGAAAATGTTTCCTTGAAAGACTCATTTGCAGAGAATGCTTGCATAATAAAGGGAGAAACTCTCTTAGGTCTTTCTTATGGGTCAAACTTTGTAATAGTGGCAGAGAGCTATCTGTTATGCTCCCAGAACAGTGGCATTATAACGTGGTGTTGGCTGCTTTAATTTCCTAGAGTGGCTGTAACAAATTACTACAGGCTGGGCGGCTTAAACAGAAGTTTATTCTCTCACAGTTCTAGAAGCTAGAAGTCCAAAATCCATCTGGGCTGCGCTCCCTCTGGGGGTTCCAGGGAGAGAATGCATTTCCTTTCTTTGCCAGCTTCCAGTGGTTTCAAGCATTCTTGACTTGTGGCCACATCACTCTAGTCTCTGTTTCCAACTTCACATTGCCTTCTCTGTGTATCTGTGTTTGCTTTTCGAAGACACTTGTCACTGGACTTAGGGCTTACGCATCCAGATAAGCCAAGATGATCTCATCATTGCCAGGTCTTTACATCCACAAAGGCCCTTTTTCCCCCCAAATAAGGCCATATTCCTAGGTTCCCAAGGTTAAGACCTAGCCATGTCTTTTGGGGGCCACCATTCGACACACAGGCTATAAGTCGTGTGTCTGAGCCTACTGGTCTGTAAAATGTAATCATCATGCTTTACAAAGTTCACACGAGGATTAAATGACAGTGTGGGGCTTTTATGAAGAGCTCGGTAAAAGTCAGCCGTAGCTGTCAGAGGGTCAAAAAGAAGAGGCAGTATTGACGGCGAGAGCACAGAGTATTCCCACTGACGCTGGATACTGAAGGGTTGCAGAAAAAACGTAAGATGGCGTGTGAACGACAAGAAAGTTAGGGAGAATACTCAGGGCTGCTGGAGTTGGATTCTGTTTCTCCGTAATTTCAACAGTTTCACTTATATCTCTTTGCTTTAATTTCTCCATGGACTCATGAGTATGTAAATAAAACAATGAAAGAGTGCATTCAGCCTCCGGGAGATTCTTAAGCTCATTTTGATCATCTTTTTATGGTAATTCAACTTCTACTCTCAGCTAAATCAGTTGTAATATTCTAGTTAAGCTGCTCAGAGTCTGCGGGGCACTTTTAGGTAAAATTTGTTTTTCTCCTGACCTAGTTCATCCTGAGAAATGCTCTCATATGAGAGTTTTCCATTTTCTCTGTTATAATGGATAATAATTTGTAGTCAATTTTCAGGTATCTTTTGGGGACTTATCCTACTTTTTATAACACTTATTATTGTATTATAATTACTTTTCTAATTGTACTTTCAGAGCAATGTGCATGAGACCTGCAAGCTAAATGTAATAAGCAAAATCTGTTCAGAAAGGTAAAACATACAAAATAATTCTTATATTATGTATCAAATATTTTTCTTACATTTCACTATTTTGGATGATTTGTTTTACTGATTTTCTCTACTATTCAAATAATGGGTGCTCAGTCACTCAGTCATGTCTGACTCTTTGCAGCCCTGTGGACTCCATGAGGCTTCTCTGTCCACGGGACTCTCCAGGCAAGAATACTGGAGTGGGTAGCCAGTCCCTTCTCCAGGGACTCAAAAATAGAAAATTGCTTTTATTCTATCCTAGAGAAAACAGATACTTGATAATATTTAGAATGAAATTGAAAAAGATCTACTGTGATATATAAGTAGTACAGTTTTTAACCTGTCCCTTTGTGATCTCAACTATACTCAACTATATTATATTGCAATGAACTTATTATACAACAATTAAACTTAGCAGTTTAATTGAGCAGTTTCATTATTTATTTCATTTACTAAAGAATGAATGTGTGTATCAGGGACTATAATACAGGATAATTAAAGGATATCTTATAACAGGATAATCAATAGTTATATTGATTCAATAAAATATATCTCAAGGTATAGAGATTTGGCTGATAAATGATTTAGGTAGCCCTAATATTATGTGACTTAGAAAGAATAGCTTAAAAATATCAGAAAGTTGGTAGAAAGAAATGAGCAGTCCCTAGGCCGGGAGAATGACAGCTGTCTCTGGATGGCTTTGACACACTTCAGGTCTCTGTGTTTGGAAGAGGAAGCAGCCAGTGCAGCCACGCCCTTCTGATGTGTAACTATCCCCCTTTCCTACGGGGTTGGAATCACAGGCCTGTGACTTTACGAAGTTGAAGCAGGGTTAATGGCCTGAAAGGTACAGCCTTGACTTTCTAGAGGACTCCCAGGAGATCCTCCTAATCTTCATTACCCCACTTACACCTTCTAGTACTTTGCAGAGGAACGTTGCTCATGAAATAAACTCTTAACATTAAAAAATGGGATATTTGCTATTGATTTTTCCCCTGGAGTGTTGATTTGCCTCTCGGTCCTCAGCAGGTATTTTTAACATCTGTAGAAAGGAAATAATTCTTATTTAATGTTTATTTTGGCAGCTCGTATACCATATTCAAATGATACAGTGAGGATGAACATGGTTCCTACCCAAGGGACTAAGTCGCTTTAGTTGTGTCTGACTCTTTGCAACCCCACGGACTGTATAATGCTCCAAACTCCTCTATCCATGGGATTCTCCAGGCAAGAATACTGGAGTGGGTTGCCATTTCCTCCTCCAGGAAATCATCCCTGACCCCAGGGATCAATCCTGCGTCTCCTGCTTTACAGGCAGATTCTTTACCACTTGAGCCTACACAAGGATGACTTGCAAATTTGTGAAGTGTTCCGTATTTTTTTATTTTTGATTAAGACAACTCATATAAAGTATTTAGCACAATACATGAGTCATCATGTCCCAATCAAAGTTTAGCTAATACATCAATTTTGGAGTCAATATTTCTCATGCCAGACCTAATTGAATTTGTCCAAAAAAAGTATGAGATATGTCAGTTTCTGTTATACATATTTTAGTCGTGAAAATAGGTAAATCATCTGAAAAAATTCTTTATCTAGCCAAGTAACTAGAGACTAAAGAAAGCTTATATCTCAAACCTGGGTCTATAGGGTAGTTTTCTGCCATGTACTCAGTTTTCACAGCTTTGTGGAAGGGGTTGAGGGAGGTTTCTCAAATGAACTTCTTTAAAAGCACTATGCTTTCCCCCAAATAAATATGTTTACTGGACATTAGAGAATTTAATCTGGCAAATGCAGAGAATGCACTTGAAAGTTTGGGGACAGATGAAACCTGATTTAAACCACAGCTCTCGCCAATCGTCAACTATAAGGTTTTGGCACTTCAGTTGACCTTTCTGACCTTCAGTTTCCTCTTCTGTTTAGTGAAAGTGATAATTCCCACTTCTTAGTTGCATTGCATTCATCAGGTCAGCAAATCTGGAAGACCCAGTAGTGGCCACAGGACTTGAAAAGATCAATCCTCATCCCAATTCCCAAGAAGGGTAGCACTAAAGAATGTGCTAACCATTGGACACTTTCACTCATCTCCCTTGTTAGTAAGGTCATCCTTAAAATCTTGCATGCTA